TCTCTCCTCTCCTCTCTTTCTTTTCTTTTTCTTTCTGAGCCAAGATTCCTCCTATTTATTCTCTCTGCCTGCCAGCCCCACCTATCCTTTCTCTACCTAGCTATTGGTTGTTCAGCTTTTTATTAGACCACTCAGGTACTTTAGGCAGGCAAGATGAAACAGATATAACATATCTTTATATAATTAAACGCACATCCTTACATCATTAAACAAATGCAGCATAAACAAATGTAACACACCTTTACCCAGTTAAAGTAATATTCTGCAATAAACAAATGTAACACATCTTTACATAGTTAAAATAATCCACAACAAATGGCCATAATCTATTTTTTTTAAGATTTTTAAATTAATGTATTTTTTAAATTTTATGTGCATTGGTGTTTTGCCTGCATGTATATCTATGTGAAGGTGTCAGATCTTGGAGTTACAGACAGTTGTGAGCTGCCATGTGGGGTCTGGGAATTGAACCTGGGTCATCTGGAAGAGCAGTAACTGCTGAGCCATCTCTCCCTTAAAGATATTTTATAATTATTTTTTTTTATGCATGTGGTTTTTTTATTTGCACTGCTTGTGTGCCTGGTGCCTGTGTGAGTGAGAAGAGGGCACTGGATCCAGGTACAGACAGTTGTGAGCCACTATATAGGTGCTGGAAAGCAAGCCTGGGTACTCTGGAAGAGCAGCCAGTGCTTTTTGGTTGTTATTACTGTTTTTTGTTTGTTTGTTTGAGACAGGGCCTCTCTATGTATCCCTGGCTGTCCTGGAACTTACAGTCTAGCTGGCATGGCCTCACACTTAAAGATCCTCCTGTCTCCTCTTCCCAGTGCTGGGATTAAAGGCGTGTGCCACCATCGCCTGGCTCAGAAAGTTAAGAGCATTGACTGTACCAAGTATGATAGCGCACGCCTTTAATCCCAGCACTGGGAGGCAGAGGCAGGCGGATCTCTGTGAATTCGAGGCCAGCCTGGGCTACCAAGTGAGTTCCAGGAAAGGCACAAAGCTACACAGAGAAACCCTGTCTCAAAAAAAAAAAAAAAAATGCTCTTAACTTCTGTGTCATCTCTCCAGCTCCTATGCTATTTTTTATTTTATGTGTGTGGGTGTTTTGACTGCAAGTTTATCTATGCACCACATTTAGATGCCCTGGAACTAGAGTTACAGATGGTTAGGAGCTACAGTAGGTGCCGGGAATTGAACCCAGATCCTCTGGAAGAGGAGCCAGTGCTCTTAACCACAGAGCCATCTCTTCAGCCACCTCACCCACTTTTTTTTTTTTTGATTTATTTATTTATTATGTATACAGAAGAAGGCGCCAGATCTCATTACAGATGGTTGTGAGCCACCATGTGGTTGCTGGAAATTGAACTCAGGACCTCTGGAAGAGCAGTCAGTGCTCTTAACCTCTAAGCCATCTCTCCAGCCCCCCCACTTTATTTTTTTAATTGTGTGTGTTGTAACCTGCATGTGAGTGCAGGTGCCTGAGGAGCCCAGCAAGAGGGCATCAGATCCCCTGGAGCTGGAATTACAGGCTGTTGTGAGCTGTCCCACTTGGGTGCTGGGGATTGAACTCAGGGCCTGTGTAACAGCACTAAATGCTCTTAATCACTGAGCTATCTCCAACCCCTATGATACCTATTTTCATTTCTGGCTCTTTCTTTTGAGATTCAGAACCACCTATCTTACCTGGACATCTTCCCAGGAACTTTAAATAGAGTATTTTGCAGATTAGCCCTGAGCCTAGTACCTAGGAAGTCTTCTATAAAAATGAATTGTTACTGATCATCAACGTTCTATTTTAGCTCCTGCTGTGTGATCTGCTTCCTTTTGCTTCTCCTCTGTGGCTTGCCCACATCACTCATTTGCTGGCAGTGTCTTTGGTCCTGGCTTATTTGTTGTCTCTGCAGGAAGCCCAGGGAAGAGTCCAACTTGGTTTTCCCACCAGCAGAGAAGAACTGAAGCAATAAAAATGAAGAGAATCCCACACCAAGCCCACAGTACTCTGAAGGATCACTTTGGTGGTATCCTCTCTGGTGGGTCCAGGCAACAGTTCCCTTCCCGACTGGTGCTTCCTGGGGTCACCATACAAGTATAGTTCTAACAACAATGTCTGAATACTACAGGATTCCAATCATGTTATTCATGTAATGCTTTTTAAACTTTCTGTGCAAACAAAAATGGGTTTCATTATGACATTGTCATACATATACATCCTTAAATTTTGTTCTTGTTAGTCTCATTTTTTGAAGCTTCAACTGTAGCTGGAGAATTTCTCTCCCGCTCCCGCCAAGTCCCGGAGCCCATTTATAAAATAAACACACAGACTCTTACATTATTTAAACTGTTTGGTCATTAGCTCAGGCCTATCATTGTCTATCTCTTACTCTTATATTTAGCCCATTTCTATTAATCTATACTTTGTCACGTGGCTCGTGGCTTATCGGTACCTTATATTTTTTTGGTCCTGGTGGCAGCTCCAGCAGTCTTCCCCTCTCCTTTTTGTTCCCTCAATTTTTCTGTTAGTCCCGCCTATACTTCCTGTTTGGCTACTGGCCAATCAGTATTTATACAGAGTGATATCCACAGCACTCATTAGAAGTGAGACATTAGAAGCCTCTGTAGCACACTGTTAAGAGCAGACCGAGGTCCCATTTCTATCTAGCCTGTCTCTCTAGATCTGAGTCAAGCATGAGACTCTATCGCCTCAGTTTTTTCCTAAGCCTACAGATCAGTATATAACTCTCAGCTACTGTTCCAGCACCATGCATACCACCATGATCCCCACATAATGGATTAAACCTCTGAAACTGTAAGCAAGCACCCAATTAAATGCTCTCTTTTATAATAGTTGTCTTAGCCGGGCAGTGGTGGCGTATGCCTTTAATACCAGCACTCCGGAGGCAGAGTCAGGAGGATCTCTGTGAGTTCGAGGCAGCCTGGTCTACAGAGCGAGCTCCAGTATAGGCACCAAAGCTACACAGAGAAATCCTGTCTCGAAAAACAAACAAACAAACAAACAAAGAGTTGTCTTGGTTATGGTGTCTCTTCACAGCAATAGGACAGTGACTGGGACATATATCTTTAAAATAAAACTCTACAACTCCCCTAGAAAGCGGAAATTCTCCTGTATATAGCACTTGAAATTAAGGTACAAGTACTACATGTATGTGAAAGGGAAAAATCAGTAGCCATCTTGAGAGGCGCTTCCCCCTCCCCTCCTCTGTGGGGCATTTACCCACCAACCCCACAGCTCCCCAGAGTTTTCTTGAGTGTGAGCAGCAGGAAATATTAGATAGAAGGATTTATTGCGGAGAATATTGCAGAGATAAACAGATAGAAAATAAAGGATAGCCTCGAGAGGGCCTGGAACCTTTTCCAACAGGCCCTGACTGTCTCTGCCTCAGGGTATTTATAGAGACACCAAGGGGTGGAGCAAAAGACCTCCTCCCCCAGCACAGCCAAGTGCAGACCATCTGACACCTGCACTCAAGCCCATGGTCCTAATCATCCTCTATGTGGACCTTCTGGGTAAAGCCACGAGGAATCTGAAAACGGGCTCCCACACTCCTCCAAAGGTATTTGCTGATCAGCAGTTTTAAAAGTGACCAGAAGTTGAACTTATAAGGCTGGGACAATCAATCTATGTATCCTGGACTTGGCAAAACAAGATATGGGGAGTAATGGACTCAACTGACCAGAAGTTGACCTTAGAGGAGAGTAGGACTGGAACAATAAATCTGAATGTATATATCCTGGGTTCAACAAAAGCAAGATATAGAGAGTAAAAAATGTATGTCTCTGTAGATACCCTAAATCCTGTTAGCCATCAGTTCATGCTTATAGTTCAGCCAGTAACTTCAAAGAACTACCTCACAGCCGGGCGATGGTGGTGCACGCCTTTAATCCCAGCACTCGGAGGCAGAGGCAGGTGGATCTCTGTGAGTTCGAGGCCAGCCTGGGCTATAGAGCGGGATCCAGGACAGGCTCCAAAGCTACACAGAGAAACCCTATCTCCAAAAACAAACAAACAAACAAACAAACAAACAAAAAAAGAACTACCTCACCCCTAGCCCCCTCGTCCAATCCCAAGCTGCCTGTAAACCTTTCCTATATACACCCCTTCAAGTGAGTGCTCGGGGCGTTCTCCTCCTCCACCCGCTGTGTCGGATGTTGGATGGCTGACCAAGCTTGCTGGTTTTGTTATAAAAACCTCTGTGTGCTTGCATCGGATAATGGCTCTGTGGTGGTCTTGCTTGGGGGTCTTGCGACCTAGGCACAACATATGCAGTTTGGAGAAAAATAAATAAATAAAATGCAGAGGACAAAATGAAAATGCTTTTAATTTTCCCATCCTTTTTGATGTAGCTCATTTTCATAGGATTCAACTTAGTCAGACACCTTTCTAAACCTTTCTGTATGTATTAAACAAGCTTCAGTTAGTCAGGAAAGGCCGTCACCATCCACTTGGTAATTGTAATTCTCTTAAAGAGAAGCTGGAGGATCAGGCAGGAAAGTGGGAGCCACTTAAGAAGCCTCTTTACGTGTTTTTAAAGTTTGAGAAATACAGGTCAATACATGTAATTAGGTGCCAAAAAGGAATTGCGGCCGGTGCCCCAAATGCGACTTAAGCTCTGGGGTAACGCACTTCTGGAAAGGCGGTCTCTGACGGCGATGTACCTCGTGTGCGGTGCCACCGGGGCCTCTACAGGTTTCCCGGGAAAGGCGCCGCCTGCGCCTTCTCAACCAGTCTTGCTAGAGTAGGCGTATTCTTTACGAACAAAAGCGTTCGGAGTGACCGCCCCTATAGCCACTCAACGCCGAGCACAGACCCGCGCCCCTGGCTCAGTGCAACTTCCAATTGGTGGAGTGGTCCTAGAGGAGGCGGGACGGAGAGGAAGTCCCGCTTCCTTTGGCGTTCTAGCCAATCACAGTGTCGGGGAGATGACCGGTTAGGTTGCATCCGTTCTGTAGCGTTCTGAGCGGCTTGAGGGCGGGGCGCGGGGGCCCGGCGGGTCGCTGAGGAGGGGGTTGGTGGAGGACGCTTCCCGAGGGCGCGCGGAGCCGAGCGGGTGACAGACACGCACGCGCGCGTGCGCTCCCGACTCCTGCGCGGCCCCGCGACCCCCGTCGGGCCGCTGAGAGGCGCGCGGCGTCCGCGCCGCAGCCGTCTAGGGTTCCAGTCCAGGGGCGTCCCCGGCGTCCCCAGCCCGAGTCTCCGAGCGCCGGGCCGCGCCCGCTCCTGCCCCCGCGTCCCGTCCTCGCTGCTGTCCGAGACTGTCCCTTAACTCGGCTTTCCGCACCGAGGGCCGGGTCCTCGCGGCCCATGGTGGCCGCTGGGGACCCACGCAGCCTAAGTCCGTCTCGGGCCGGCCAGCCGGCCACCATGGTGGCCCTGAGGCCTGTGCAGCTCCTCCAGGGGGGCTAATAGACCCAGGACGCGGGCCTAGGGGTGAGAGGGTCCCAGGCCAGAGTCCCCCGCCATGGCTGGAGCCATCGCTTCCCGCATGAGCTTCAGCTCGCTCAAGAGGAAGCAGCCCAAGACATTCACGGTGCGGATCGTCACCATGGACGCCGAGATGGAGTTCAACTGCGAGGTAACCGGCCGCCAGTCCCGACGGACTGTGAGCGGAGAGCCACGGAATCCCTGCCTGTCCGTCCCGGGCGCGCGTCCCCACCCACGGGGCGTCCTCGCTGCGGTGACAGTCGAGGTGGAAGCTTGAGGGATTCTGTATCTACCCTTCTCTGGGCAAGGGTGGAGATGGTCAGAACCGGAAAGGACTATCTAGGCCCAGATCACAAGTTAAAGCTAGTTGTTGCCGGGTTTTTTTTGTTTGTTTTGCTTTTTGTTTTTAAAAGAAAAAAAACCCAAAAACGTGGGTCTCTTGGTTTTGGCCTTCTTGAAGGTTATTTTCATTCATTTGTTTTTGGAAAAAAACGAATCTTCCGTAGTAACGAACTGGTTTACGGTGTGTAGGGCTTGCGCTTAAAATTCCAGGGAGATTTTCATTAGGTATTATTATGCACGCTAGGTCTAAAAAGTTACATCTAGTTTTGTTGAAAGTTTGTACTTTTCCCAGTTCCAAACTTTTAAAGTTTCTAGGGAAAACTTTGAGGAAAAAGTAGCTTACATTTACTTTCCATAGTTTCTAACATGGTGATAATAGCTATCATTTGTTGAAAACGTGTGTGTGTGTGTGTGTGTGTGTGTGTGTGTGTGTGTGTGCGCGCGCGCATGTGCATGCTATACAAGCACTCCATCACTGGGTTATATCCACAGCCCTGAGCACTTTCCAAGTGTCAGATATTTATACATTTAACTCTCGAAAAACAAAACAACAACCAAAAATTAGTCTGGTAGGTACCCGTGACACTGCAATATATTTGATCTGGTTTCCTGGCCTATTGCTTCTAAAAATCTCCAAAGTAGTGTCTTTCTTGTGTGCTAATGAGTTGACTGTTGTTGCCAGGCTTCAGTTTTTAGGATTCAGCTTGGTTGCCAGAAAGGCATCCTTAGGTTGGGACTTCTCAATTCTTCTCTCAAGCTGGGACTGATGGTTAAATTGATCACTAAAGGCCAATGATTTAATCAATAATGCCTATATAATTAAGCCTCCATAAACTCCCAAAAGGATGGGGTTTAGAGAACGTCCAGCTGAACATGTTTGCTGGGAGTAGGTATACAAGCTCTGCACCCTTTCCCACATGCTTTACCTTATGCATTTAAAAAGATCTTGTGAGGCTGGAGAGATGGCTCAGAGAGATGACTGCTCTTCCAGAGGTCTTGAGTTCAATTCCCAGCACCCACATGGTGTCTCACAACCATCTGTAATGAGATCTGGCGCCCTCTTCTGTGTACATAATAAATAAATTTAAAAAAAGATCTTGTAATATCTTGTGCCCCTTGTAATATCCCTGATAAAAAAATAGGTAAACACGAGTGTTTATCTACTTTATGTGAGGTGCTCTACTAAATTAACTGAACCCAAAGAGGGAGTTGTGGCACCTCAGTTTGTCAGTAGTCAGAAGCATGTGATTGGCATCAGAAACAGAAGGCAGTCTTGTGTGGCTGACACTTTTACCTATGAGATTTAACATTCCAAGAAGAGTGTGTCAGAATTGAATTGAATGAAAGGATACTCAACTGGTATCTGATGGAAGAAAGAATTGTTTGATTGGTTGATGTTGCCCCCATCTTATTTTTTTATTTTTATTTTTTAACATCTTGGTGAAAGACTTTTGGCCAGGTGTGGCAGCACACACCTGTAAATCCAGTGCTTAGGAGCCTGAGCCAGAGAATTGTGAGCGTTCAAGGTCAGCCTGGGCTACTGAATGTGGCAAGAGCCTCTATAAGGGGTGGTGGTGATGCCTTGGGAGGCAGCAGCAGGAGGATCTCTGTGAGTTCGAGGCCAGCCTGATCTACAAAGAGAGTCCAGAAAAGCCAGGGCTACACAGAGAAACCCTGTCTCGAAAAACCAAGACCAGAAAAAAAAAAAAAGGGTGGAAAAAAACTTTAATTTTTCCTTTTTATATATGAAGAGTGCCTCAAGATTTTGAACTTCCGACTACGCTTTTAGCCAGGATGATACTTTAAGCAATTTATTGTTTGCTACCCAAAGTGTTGACTCCCGGCCAGCAGCGTTGGTGAGCCTGACAGTAGATCAGGGGTTACCAGATTGTTTCTACTCAGAACTGTATAGTTCATCATTTCAGCTTTACAGGTCCTCGGGACCCTGTCGGCACTAACTTCTCAGCTCTTCAGCTTTGCTTTTAGATAGGATTGACTTAAGCATGACAGTATCAGGTGCTCCCCTGACATAGTCTACTCCAAAGCTGGTGAAAATTCTTTTGAAAACAAGCTTTGGTAATAGTTGTAAGGATGAACAGCAAATGTTACAACAAGAAATCAATGAAAATTTAATAAGGTGAGAGGCAGTAGTTTGAATCAAGACTGTCAATGCTTCTTTCCCCCTTCGGATGAGTTAGATACATTCCACTCCTTGTTGCTGAGGCTGAGTCCTAGGAAGGTGGGGTCTCCTTTTTCTACTCAATTCCTACCTGTGGAACGGGGTGTGACGTACTGAGATGATTTAGGACCTGACTGCTTTTGCCCCAACTTTGACTTGTGAGGCGGTTATTGACCTCAGGAAAGGCAAGTTGAAACCTCAACCTACTGTGTGTTTTTCCACCAAAGACTCAGTCCTGGAATTGGTGGGGAAGGGGAGAGCTTAGAGAAAAGCTCATCATTTTCACCATTGCCTGTTTCTAGAATCCTGGCTCAGAGATTTTTGCGTGAGGAATGGAGAGGAGCAGGACTTAAAACGGAATTGTTGACTAGGGGTATAGTTCTGATAAAGCATGTGTAGGTGGCCCAAGATTCAACCCCTAGCCCCAAACCCCCAAAACAAACAAAACCCAGATTGTCCTGATCTTACCCCAAAGAAAACAACTTCACCTGAAACACAGCGGGAAAGTGTATGCCTGAAGGTAGTCTTGAGAATGCTATGTTTTAGCGAGAGAAGATTGGATTTTATGAAGATACAGCCTAGACTGTGTGTTTTCCAGTTTGCAAGAAAGTTTTAGGGAACTCTCCTTAGGGAAAGACTAAAGATCAAATATTTACCTCAGCAGCAGTTCCCTCAGAGTAACCGTAATTCAGTAGGCTAGTTTGTATACAAGTTGTGCCCCAGGGCATTGTTACAAATATTAGAAAAACAAGCCACAATGAGCGTTTAACAGCTAGATGGTCATGGAAAGGGAAGACTAAAGCCATGTCATTCAAGGTTAACTACCCAAATCAACATTTCCCTGTGGGGAAATGTCATAGGCCTTCACACTGTGGGAGAAGTAGATTTTGTTAAAATCGTCCAGCCGGTCACCAAACAAGTAAATGGTAAGTCTTGATATTGGATTTGATGGTCTGTGTCTGTAATCTTAGCACTTTCCAGGCTGAGGGAAGGGGAATGGAGTGGTCAAGGCCAGCTTGAGTACATAGTAAGCTCTGTGCCTCAAAAATACAAGGACAGAGAGTGCTGCCCCTCTCCCACCAAACAGAAGCCCTGGATAGGGGGCACCAGTACCCAGAGTCAATAAAACATATTATCTGAAATGTCCAAAACATCAAAAACTATGAGATATGCAAAAAAAATGGGAAAATATGACCTGTACAAGGAAGGAAGAAGAGGTGGGTATGGGAAAGCTAGCTACAGAAGTCCCTGTGAGAGTGAACAGGGGTCAGAGTTAACAAAAAAGGCTGTAGGGAGGTTGTTCAGTCAATACACTGCTTGCTATGCAAGTATGAGGATCTGCACTTTGATCCTGAGCACCATGTAAAAGCTGTGCTGGAGGATGGAGGCAGGAAGGTCTCCGGAGCTTGCTGGCCAGCCAGGCTAAGTGAACCACTGAGCTCCAGGGTCAGTGAGAGACCTGGTCATTCAAAATAAGGCAGAGAGTAATAGAGGAGGACACTTGATACTGTCTACTGGCTTCCACATGTCCATGTGCATCTGTGCACCACACAAGTACACATCCATGCACATGCACAAACTCTCGAACACACACACACACACACACACACACACACACACACACACACACACACACACACACACGCATTAGCCATTATAAATGTATTCCCAGAACTTAAGGGACACACAAAGTAGTAAAGGAAGGCACAAGATACTGCCAAATCAAGTGGAGCTCACGAAAGAGAGGAGTTATAAAAGAGAACCAAATGAAAGCTCTAGAGTTGAAAAGTCTAATAGCTGGAATAAAATACTCAGTAGAGGAGCCCCAGTTACAAATCTGAACTATCAGAAGAAAGAAGGAAGTCCACTAAGAATTAAGGTCTAGTAAAGTTGATTATAGATTAAGTAGTCATTTTCAGAGTAGTGAAATGAAGACAACAGATAACCAAGAACTGGGAGGATTTATCACTCAAAAGACCTGCCTTACAAAAAACTGTTACGAGGTCCCTCAGGCTGAAAGCAAGAGACCTCAAAGAGAACAGTAAAGGTGATTATATAGATGCTGTAAATGCTTAGTTTTCTCCTTAACTGATTAAAAAATTGTCTAAGTGCTTGTAATGTTAGACATATAATATATATTGTACATATAACACATTTGGTAACAATAACAGAATTGACGTGTTGAAACAAAGCCATAACGGGCTAAGGAAATGACTACAGATGGTAAAAGAATAGCTGTAACTATGAGTTACTGTGAGTGTAAATTTGATAGATGTATATACTAATACCACAGCAGAACATTGCTGGATCATTTAAAGGAAACTAATATAAACCTGAAGTTGGTTTTGATAAGTCAAGATTATATGGTAAGTTCCAGAGCAGCTACTATAAAGATCTAAAAATATGAAAACAGGAGCTAGAGAGATGGCTTAGTGGTTAAGATCACTTGTTGCTCTTGCAGAGGACACAGGGCTGCTTCCCACACCCACAAGTCAGCTCATAACCATCTGTAACCCCAGTTCCAGGGGATCTGATGGCCTCTTCTGACCTCCATGGGCATTGCGTTCATGTGGCACTCTTACATGCAGACAGTATACTCATACACAAAAAATGAATCTTTAAAAAAGAGA